TTTTAATAAAAGTACAATAGCATTTTCTAAGTTAGTATCTTAGAATTTTATTTGTAGAGTGCCCTTGTCTTTTAATAAAATTTTTGACTTTACTCTTTATGGAGAAGACAAAAGTACCCCTTGTCTTGTAGTAATATTTACAAAACTGCCTTTACTTATTGATGAATATATCCCAAAAAGTAACTTTTTTGAAAAAATATATTACAAAATTAGTAAATCCATCATTCACAACTCTAACCTTTGTATATATATATATATATATATGAAAAGATGAGATTACTAGCTCATATGAACATATGAGCCCAACATCTCAGATTGATTATGGGCCGATCTAACGATCACAGATATCCGGTAGTGTTTGAATTTTAGTGTTTTTTCTACAAATCCAATGCACTTGAATATCAAAAAAATATTTTACATGAAAAAGATTGACTAAAATACCCACAAATTACTTTGGGGGGTATTTTAGTCATTATTGCTTTTACGGATAATTATTTTTATATTTTTATTAGGTGTGCCTTGATAAAAAGAAAACACGCCTAAAATTTCAAGGGATTTAGATCTGTAAGAAAATAAATAAAATTCAAGTACTATCAGACATCCGTGATTATCAGATCGATCCAGATTCAATCTAAGCCATTGGGCTCATATATTCATATGAGCTAGTGGGCTAATCTCATCGTTTCCTATATAGGGAAAAGATGATGTGCGCCTCCTCACGTATGACTTCTAAATACGCCCAAAGGTCACGATTTCCATGGGAAGAACCAACGGTAAGGATGTTGCCTTTCTCATTTCTCTCTTGATGCTCTCAAAAACCCAATTTAATGCCCCTGATACAACCCACTTGCCCTGTACATCTTTCTCATATCTCAAATTCAGTCACCCACCACTACCTCTTTAACTGCATTTATTTCGGCCTGTGCTCGAAATGGGTTCGAGAGAGAGGGCCTGAAACCAGACAGCATAACGTTTCTCTCTCTACTTTATGGGTGTAGCCATGGAGGCCTAATTGAAGAGGGGAAGAGGATATTCGAAACAATGGAAAATAATCATGGGATAATTCATGATATTCGTCATTATTCATGCATGGTTGATCTTCTTGGAAGAGGACTTCTAAATGAAGCAGAGGAATTACTAAAAGCATCCCCATTTCGGGTGAATTCAACAATGGTGAGCTCACTGCTGAGAAGTTGCAGAATTCATGGGAGTTTGAAGATGGGTAGATGAGTTGCAGAGGCATTAGTGGAGCTGGAACCTTGGCAGCAAGTTATTTACAGGATTTGAATATGTTTAGTGACAGTGAGAGTTTTACTGATTCATTTGAGATTAGAGAGATGATGAAAGAGAAGAAGTTTGAGAGGGAGCCTGGGTATAGCTTAAATATAATGTGAGAAAGGAATTTTTAGTTAGCAGTCTTTTCTTTTTCTATTAAGAGAGGGAATTTTGCGGATTGCTACGGATGTTAAGAGAGATGATGAGAGAGAAGAAAGTCAAAGGAGTGCATCTATATATCTTATTTAGCCTTCATTTTCGGTCAAAGTGTTGATGGTCTTAACAACCAGTGTAGGAGTTTAAAGCAGATATTTGAAAGTTGATGAAAGCACATCAGAGAATGCCTGAATATTTGTTGAAGGATGATCTAAAGAGCTTTGAGAGATACTTGAGAGATGATAAGAGAGAAGATCAAGAGAGTGCAAGTATAGATGATGAGAGAGAAAAATTAATTTGCCCTGAGTTTTCGCCCAGTCCAGATTACCTTTCACAATTAGGGAATGGGAGACTTGAGCAAATATTAGAGATGATGAGAGAAAATAGAAATCAAAAGTGTGCAAGGGTAACATACTAATTTAACCTGGACTTTGGGTTTCTCCTGTTATCTTTTGCAATTAATGAAAATGTAGTAAAAGATCAGAAAGACAAAGGTCAAATTCCCTACTGTGAAAGTCTCATTACACACACGGTCTATCTCTATAGCACGCCATGATATAATCTTGCAACTAGTTGCAAATAAACAGTGATATAATCTCGCAATTTATTAAAAGATGTTGTCTTATATTAAGTCAAACTGCACTTCCTCCCCTCTCCCTGTTCACACTGAACCAGTGTTTAAAAAAACGTCGAGTCGAATCGGACTCGCCCGGTTCGACTCGGAAATCACCATGGAGGATTGTATCGGTTAAAAAAATGGGAATCGTCCGGTTCTAGAGAGAACCGGACGATTCTGCACAGTGACTCGCCGATTCACTGTACGGAATCGGCGAGTCCGTGAAGAACACGGGTTGCACAGTGTTCTTCACGGGATTCTTCGAAATTTGTCATTTTTTGATCATTTTTCTTGTTTTTTTTGGCATGTGATCTAATTTGCAGGCTGTAAACAGTTTTATTCAGCTTTTACAAGGATTAAATGGTTGAAAAATTTGGTGTTTTTGGATCACGAAATTTGCATTTTTAGGGTTTCCGCCTTTCCTTGTGTTTAATGCCAAATAGGGCATGAATCTTTCAAAATTTGTAGGCATTTTGATCGTAAAGCTGTGCATCAAAACCTTTTGTTACTAATTTGTGATAATCGTTGAGAAAAACAGAGTTTTTTGGAGATTGAAGGCTTCGGTTCACAAAATCAGGTAAGAAGTTTGGGTTTTTTTTTTTTTCCGCCTTGTGATTTATTTCACGACATATTTTGAACATAATGAGTTCAATAATTAGGGTTTTTAATCTTTATTGTGTCTATTATGATTTCAAATTTTCAATTTTATTTAATTTGGTCAATTACAACATGAAATTTGAGATGAACACAGAGATGTCTGCAGAACCAAAATTCCGCTATTTTTTTTTTTTTCCGCCTTTTGATTTTTTTTTCATGATATATTAGAAATAATGTGTTAAAAATTTAGGGTTTTGATTCTTTATATTGTTGTTTATCAGAAAATGTACTCAATTGGATGGAATTTATTCACTAAGAGGTGGATTTTTTAGTTAAAATAGCTTATGTAAAATGGCTCTGTGAAGAACATAATTTTTTTTTTTTTTTTGTAATCCATGGTCGAATTTTTTGTTCTTTGTTTTTTTTGTAACCCATGATAGAATTTTTTGTAATCCATGATCGAATTTTTTGTAATCGATAATCGAAATGTTTGTTTTTCTTTCTTGTAATCCATGATCGAATTTTTTTTTTTTTGTAACCCATGATAG